TTTTGTTAAAAAGAAACGTTTCGCCCCTCATCCAAGAGGCTTCGTCAATCATGACTACATTTCTTACATGTTTTTTTGTTTTTTTAGCAGGAAGGAAAGTTTGTTTGAGGAAGTGTAACGTAGTACAGTATCACCTTTTAGGTGTTTGTGTGACGTGTTCAAACTAATGCCCTATGACTGACTACTACTTCAGTATGGTTTATCTTTTTCAAACTGCAAGTTTCAAATAAAATAAGTATAACATCTGTGGCAAAAACATTGAACTAACCTAAAAATGGAATGCCGCTGGGACACATTTCTCGTTAAAATCCACCAAGTGCTAGTATAATTACATAAAACATTTTATTTTTATAGCAAACATGTAAATAATATGGGGGGTTGATTTTTAAGGGGGGGGGGGGAAGCAAGTGATTTATTATTGGTGTGGCAGATGCAGTTTAGAATAAAACACTGTTCAATTAAGAAGACGTTCTGACATTTGTTCTGAAATGTTAGGAAGAAAAACAGCAACATGGACTTATAATCAGAGTCAGAGTCAGAGTCAGAGTTTCTTTATTGTCATTCGCATCTCATGTGGTACATGTGGTGGAGCGAAATTATGTACACAGGGTCCCAGTTACATCCAACAATAAAATGTATAAGAAAAACAGTAATAACATCTAAGATATGAACTAAGAAAAACATCAACTAAATATACACTAAGCACTCATAACATAAAACATTGAACATCAGCACAAACATGAACATGAGTCTGTGAGCAGATGTGCACGCATGAACACATCAACATTGAAACAGATCAGCAGCAACATGAAACAGATCAGCAGCAACATGATATGGTTTTTCACAGTGATTATTCTAGTTAGAGATTCATGAGTCTAACAGCCTCAGGGTAGAAGCTGTTCCTCAGTCTAGTGGTTCTACACTTAATGCTCCTTAACCTCCTTCCTGAGGGGAGTGGGGCAAAAAGTGTGTGTGCTGGGTGGGTGGGGTCCTTCATGATGCAGGTGGCCCTCTTCCTGCATCTGGAGGTGTAGATGTCTGTGATGGTGGGGAGACTGACTCCAACAGATTTCTGTGCAGCCTTCACCACTCTCTGCAAAGCTTTTCTTTCTGCAGCTGTGCAGCCTCCATGCCACACATTGATGCTCGAGCACAGGATGCTCTCCACTGCACACCTGTAGAAGGAGGTGAGGACTGAGCTTCCCAGACCAGCTCGCCTCAGCCGTCTGAGGAAGTAGAGTCTCTGATGAGCTTTCTTGATCAGGCTGGTGGTGTTGTTGCTCCAGCTGAGGTTGTCATTCATGTGTACACCCAAGTACTTGTAGCTGGAGACCACTTCCACCGCAGATCCTCTTATGTTCAGGGGGGTGTAGGTGTTTTTGTTCCTTCTGAAGTCCACAATCATCTCCTTTGTCTTCTTCACATTGATGTGAAGGTTATTCTCTCTGCACCAGCTCTCCAGGTGTTCCACCTCCT